GGCACCTTCACACACAGGTACAATCTACACACACACACACTTAAAAATAATAAAATCTTCTAAATATAAAAATTAGTTATATATTAGTTATTAGTCAAGGTTCTCCAGAGAAAGAAAACTGATAGAATGAACCTGTTTGTCTGTCTATCCATTTATCCATCCATTTATCCATTCACCCATCCATCCATCCATCTATCCATCCATAAAAATGCGATTTATTAGAGTGAATAAATAAATAAATAAATGAATAAATAAATAAGTGGTCCAGCTAGTCTAACAATGGCTGCCTCCCAATGGAGGTTCCAGAATCTGGTAGTGTTCAGTTCATGAGGCTGGATGTTCAGCTGGTCCTCAGTATATACCAGAGTCCTGGAGAAGTTGGCTCTAATGCCAGTGAAGGAGTAGACTTGCTAGTGAGAACCAGAGCCCAGAGCAAGCAGCCAAAGAGCCAATGCCTCCTCCTTCCCTGCCCTTTATACAGGCTGCCAGCAAAAGGTGTGGCCCAAAAGATGGATCTTCCCACCTGAAAGTATCTGTATTAAAGATTTATCTTCCAACCTCAAAGATCTACCTCCCACTTCAAATGATTTAACCAAGAAAAAAAAATCCCTCACAGGCGTGCCAAACCATTTGGACTTCAGGTAACTATAAATGTAGTTGACAAACCAAGAATAGCCATCACAAAAATCTATTTAAAGTTTGGCTTTGAGGATGGTGTCTCTGACCAAATTGTGCACAGGTGAGTGGACAGGGTGTCTGTTGTGGCTCTAAGTGTCACAATGATTTTAAGTCAAATCTGAGGTCATGTAGTCAATGATTTGAAAATTCAATGTACTATAGGTTTTTCCTCTAGTTTGAAATTTGTAGTGTGTGTGTGTGTGTGTTCTTCATTTTGTTCTTCATACAGTTCTTCATTTTGTAGTGACCCCTGTCTTAGTTTGGGTTTCTGTTGCTGTGAAAAGACGCTATAACCATGGCAACTCTTATAAAGGAAAACATTTAATTGAGGATGGCTTACAGTTTCAGAGGTTTAGTCCATTATCATCACTAATATGGGTGGGGCATGGCATTGTATAGACATGATGCTGAAGAAGGAGAGTTCTGTATCTTGACCCATAGGCAGCAGAGGGAGAGACTGTAACACACTGGGCACACTGCTCATATCTTGAGCATATGAGACCCCATAGCCTGTCCCCACAGTGACACACTTCCTGCAGCAAGGCCACACCTCCTAATAGTGCCACCCCCTATGGGCCAAACATTCAAACATATGAGTATATGGGGGCCATAGCTATTCAAACCACCACAACCCCAACCATAAAATTATTTTATTGCTACTTCTTAACTACAATTTTGTTACTGTCCATGAATCATAATCTTATGAATCTGATACACAGCATATCTGATAACACCACCGATAGACTGAGACCAGTGGCTCTAGAAGGATCGGCTCACATGGGTTCCAAAGACCAAATAACAAGTCCTCGGGGGGCAAGCACTTTACTAGCTGAGCTAGTATCCCAGTTTGTCTTCCTGATCGTGTAACCAGCAAGTGGCTGAACTTGGATTGTACTTGGATACGTGACTACAGGTCAGTTTGATATTCAGGGATTTGAATGAGTAATGCCCTCATGGACCAACATACTTGAACACTGGGTCCTTGGTTGGCAGTTCTCTTGGGGCTGGTCGTGGAAACTTTAGCAGGTGGAGCCTTGATGGAGGAAGTGTGTCACTTTGATAATTGCTAGCCTGGCCCTACTTCCAGTTTGCTCTCTCCATGTTTGTCACTGAAACTTTGATTTCTAGGCTTCCTGCTCCAGCTGCCATGCCTGTTGCCACTGCTAGGTCTTCCTTTATGGACTGAGTTTCTCTCCGGAACCATAAACCAAACAAAAGTTTTCCTTCTATAGATTGCTATTGGCATTTTACCACAGCAATAAAAAGTAAGTGATGTAGGACATTACTTAGAAATTGATTTTTTTATCTTGGGCTTGAGTGATGGGTAGGTTAAATAGACGCCGAGGTTTAAGCTGCCCCGTGAATTCATTTTCCTTAAAATGGGAACCACACATTTGTTGTTGTTGTTATCTGTTATACCACCTATTTGTTGGGGAATATTTCTTTACACTGTGTGAAAAGAAATGTGTCACTGTGATTAGTTTAATAAAGGGCTGAATGGCCAATGGCTAGGCAGGAGATAATAGGAGGGACTTCTGTGGAGAGAGATCTCTGGGAAGAAAAGAGGAGGAAGAGATTGTGTGAGGGAGACATGGTGGCTGGTGGGACAAGGTGGCAGAGGTTACTTGGAAAGCTTTATTTGGGGAAGCAAAGGCAGTGGGGAAGGGAAGGGAGAGAGAAAGAAAGAGACAGAGAGAGACAGCAAAACAGTGGCCTGCCTCCTCAGAGAAATGACAGAAAGAGAAAACAGAAGTGGGCAGAGTTTGCCTCTTAAAGGGACCCTCGCGCATGTGCACAGAGCCAGGACACTGCTTGCCTGCACAGAGGCGGCACAATTTGCCAGGTCTCAAGGGGTGGGGCCAGGCTTGCCCGGATTACAGCAGAGATGTCCGTGAGGCTCTGAAGAAGTCAGACATTCGGTATGGAGTGAGGAAACCCAGCCATGTGGCTGAATGCAGATTAATAAAAATGGGCTAATTTGAGTTATAAGAGCTAGTTGAGAAAAAGCCTAAGCTAAGTCCAAGCTTTCATAATTAATTAGTCTTTGTGTCATGATTTCCAGGCTGGTAATCCCACAAAAGAAAGTCTGACTACATCTACTGAAATGTATGTTTCTGTCTTCTTGTTGAGACAGTCTCCATCAGTAGGTAAGGCAGGCTAGCGTCAAACTTGTGCCAAGGCTCTTGCCTTAGCCTGTCAAGTACTGGGGTCACAAGCATTTGCCCCCAAGCCTGACAGTTTCAGATTACTTTCAACAATTTAGTCAAATCATATAACTGCTCTAAATTTGAAAATTAAATATTGAGATATTTCACTCTTCTTTCCATGTAGTTAGAATTTCATACCCTAAGTTGATAGGGCCAACTGACTTGCCAGTAATTTATGTTAGTGTTAAAAATGAGGCAATATAACTAACTTGTCAAATATATGTTAAAAAGGCTGAATTCGAAACATTTTTTTCTGTCTACAATATTACCATATTCCTTTCTTCCCAAAATAAAAAGCACAGTTTGGGATTCATAAGCTTAATTTTTTCGAAGTTTTGTTGGTATTAGAAGGAGTAAGTCTTATTTTTAACATAGAATTCCTCAGAGTTATTATTATTATTTAGACTAAGAGTCTAAATCTCAGTAAATGGTCAGCGTACAATACACCCTTGAACCCTTTAACAGTCACTAACTCAGCAAGTATGCTCATTTGCATTTCTTCAAGAACCAGGGAATAATTTTGCAGGCAGACTACCAAATAGTCTGATAAGCCTGTTTGACATCTTTATTTGGCAAAAGCAAAGGTCTCATGACACAAGTGGATAATTGATTCTTATTTGTAATACAAAATGATCTTTTCTAAGTAGAAAACCACTCTAGCCAGGTGGTGGCTGCACACGCCTTTGATCCCAGAACTCAGGAGGCAGAGGCAGGCGGATCTCTGTGAGTTCGAGGCCAGCCTGGGCTATAAGACCTAGTTCCAGGACAACCTCCATAGCCACAGAGAAACCCTGTCTCAGAAAAAAACAAAAAGAAAAGAAAAAGAAAACCACTCTAAACCCGAGTTCTCTTGAGTATCCTTAGTGTGTTTGAAAGTATCCATGCAAGTTAACACTTCCATAGAACCCGCTGTTCCACTTTTGTCGTGTTGAAGAGCTTTTCCTCTACAGTGTTGCTGATATAAAGAATGAGGAGTGATAGCTCCGTTTCTTTTCTTCTGAAAACTTTTTAAGACATCTAATTTTAGACCTGCATAATCCTTGGTAGTGTCTAGACGTCAAAATAAGTGTGCCGTTGAATTCAAGACTGCAGCTTCATCCACTTACTCACCAGGGATGTGGACCATCCTGCCTGGCTCATATTCCTATACCGTGGTTGCCATCCCAGAGGCACGAACTCCACTCAGTGAGGGAAATAGCCCATCAGAATCGGCCCTTCAAGGAGACTGCCCTGTGGTCCGGGGTTCATGAGTCTAAATACGAGTAGTCAGAGTCTCCCAGGGGCGAAGTGTGGGGCTTTTGCAGGGAGGAGTTGATGCAGAGGCCATGGAGGATTGACTGCTTCCTGCCTTACTCAGCTTTCTTACTGTACCCAGGACCACCCAGGACCCCACCCACAGTGGGCTTCGATTTCTCACATCAATCATTAATTAAGAAAATGCCCTACAGCCTTACCACAGTCTGATCTTATGGAGGCATTTTCTCAGTTGAGACTCTTTCTAATCAGATGACTTTAGCTTGTGTTGAGTTGACATATACTAGCCAGCACAGGGGACCTGAGGGCCGTTGCACTGTGACTAGAACAGAAGCTATCACAGGGGACCTCAGGGATGTTTCATTGTGGCTGGAGCAGGAGCCAGCACAGTGACCTCAGGGATGTTTCATTGTGGCTGGAGCAGGGTGCTGAACAACCAGAGAGAAATTAAACCAGCTCATGTCAGTTGCACATGGACTTGGAAACAACAATAAGCAGTTTTAATAGTGGACGTCATTTCTCTCATCACTTACGGATCTGATGCTTAGGGGATGGTTTTGCAGCTCTCAAATGTAAAGCTTGTGACGCCCCAGCTTGACCTCTCAGGGAGGAAAGCGTGAATGAGGAACAAGCTTTAGACTGCGTAGTTACATTTTAGGAGGATGGAAAAGGCCTTCTGACCATGTGCCGCTTTAGTGGTTCCATAAACTTGAAGACAAGGGTGTGGTCACGCCAAAGCGTAGACCTTTCACTGTGACACTTGCCCTCTTGGTGGCAGCACCCCCTGTTATGGGGAAATGGCACACTTGGTCAGTGGTGTGTCTGGATGTCTCATGGGAACAAATCTCATTTTGCCCACAGAGCAAGCATGCCCATTCTTCCAGACTGAGATCTTACAGAGAAAACGTCTCACCTGAATTCCACCCAGAACAATTCTCAACCTAGAAAATGGTCTCCTAAACGACTGTAATTATGAGCATCTTCCAGACGCGGCAGAGACCGCTAGCTACTCACAGGTAGTGCATGCCACCTCCGCCCGCAGCACAGTGCGACAACGCCCAACCTTTCTCCAGGTGAGATGTGACAATGTGACTGATTTTAGCTGATGATGTGGTAATGGAAGCTCTGGTGCATCTCAGACACCGTGACCACCACTACTCTTATAAAGGAAAACATTTAACGGGGCTGGCTCACAGTTCAGAGATTTAGCCCATTGCCATGATGGTAAGAAGTATGGTGGCTCTCAGGAAGACATGGTGCTGGAGAGGTAGCTGAGAGTTCTACATCCGGATCAGCAGGCAGCAGGAAGAAAGTGCCACACTGGGCCTGGCTTAAGCATCTGAGACCTCAAAGCCCACCCCCAGTGATGCACTTCCTGCAACAATGCCACACCTATTCCAACAAGGCCACACCTCCTAGCAGTGCCACTCCCTGAGCCTATGGAGGCCATTTCCATTCAAAACACCACAGTCATGGACTGACACTCTAAAACTGTAAGCAAGTCCCCCATTAGATGCCATCTTTTATAAATTGCCTTGGTCATGGTGTCTCTTGATAGCAACAAATCAGGAACTAAGGCAAAAGTGTGTGCCAAGTGGCCCCTTTCCACTTCTGCCAACAGGTTGCTACAGGGAGACTCTAAACTAGAGGTAGAGTGGAAGAGCCTGGGTTCCAGAGTTACCTGGTGGGCAACATCTGCACCCCACTGATCTGCACAGCTGCAGGGTATGAAGTTGCCTTCTGCTGTCAGCACCTCTGCATGTCCCAGGCGTCCCCATCTCAGCAGCTGTAGCCTACTCTAAAATGACATCTGATAAACTATTGTTCTGGAGAGAGTGATAAAATGAATGTTTCTGAATTTTCACCTGCAAAAATAATGGCAATAAAAACAGTCAGTCATTAGATGTAAGATCAGGGAATAAAGTAAGAAATTAAATTTCTAACTTGTGCAGATGTTTTGTTCTATGGCAGTCTTACTGTGCTGCCCCCTCTGCCTCAGCTCCCCAAATAATTGGACTCTAGGTGAATGCTACCATGTCTAGTCAAAATGTTTATTTTTTAAGAAGATTGGAAAACTTATCTTTTTATATTTCGTACGCTCTCAGTTTTTTATTGTATAAAAATGGTTTCCAGATACTGAAAAAGAACACTGTAGGTTTGTGTGGGTTTGATTATTGTTGTCTTAGTGCGGGGTGTTTGATGTGAAGCCACAGCTATGCCAATCACACTTCCTACCACCGAGCTGCTCTGACCAGCCTCGTGAAGAATGATTTTTATAAGAAAGAGGAGAGCTAGCCAGGCATGGTGCATGCCTTCAATCCCAGCACCCAGGAGGCAGAGGCAGACAGACCCAAGTTTGAGGCCTGCCTGGTCTGTAGGGTGAGTTGACACAGAGAGACCCTGTCTTGAAAAACCAAAGGGAGAAAAAAGATAGAAAGGAAAGGCCATTCATTTGTCCATTGTGAGTTACAGCATAGGGCCCTACCTCTTAGCTTCTTCTTATATGATTATACTAACATATTAATTCAATCATGTGCACCCTTTTGTCTGATTCCTTCTCCTCCAACTAGTCCCCTTTCTACTACTTCTTGTGTGTGTGTGCGCGCGCGCACGCGTGTGAGTGCACATGTGCGTGTGTGTTCCAATTAATTTAGTTTAGGTTGCCTACAGGAGCATGAGTAAGGCATCATTTCCAGGAGCATGGATGCCTTACCAGTGCCTACAGGACTGAAGAAAATACCTGCCCCTCTCCTAGCAATAGATCTTCCCTCTTCCTGGCAGGTCCAGTCTTGTGTAAGCCATGTGGAGGTAGTCACAGCTGCTATAAACTCAAGGGTGCAATGGCCATGCTACATATGGAATACAGCATTCCACAGCACTACACCGCACCCTACAGCTCTTATTCTCCTTACGTCTTGTATAATGTTCCCTGAACCTTGGAACGAGTGGTGTAGATGCCCCATTTACAGACAAGCGCTGGGGAGCCGGTTATTCTCACCATGTTGACAAGTTACGAGACTCCATCCTTATCATTATCCACAAGCTTTTCTGATTGAAGCCGATGACAGTGCAGACGTAAACATAATCACACTATATCCATTTAGCACAATCACAATGGTAGCTTCCCTACTAGGGCCTATGGCATCCAAGCCACAGGTTCCTAACCGGATTTACAGTACCAGATGTGAGTTATCCAGTGAAGACTAAGCCTAAAACCCAACCAGAAGGTAGTGGTTATTCCCATAACATATGTGACATCATTGCTCCAGTGTCGTATCATGTACCTATTTGGTCGGTAGTGTAGTATATGCTGGGATCATAGCTGAGTGACATTGTTGATGACCACCCCATCCCTCTCCCCTGCCCCTGCCAGCAACCTGCATTCACACAGGTTGGCACTATGAGGGTAGACATCAGGGTCAGTTTTCTTCTGTTCTAATATTAAAGAAACAGGATTCACGCACGTCTTATTTGCTTTTATTGTTGTTGTAACCATGAAACTCTAACCAGTCATCTGGTCTTATGGAATCCTATCCAACACAGATGTGAGTTTTCCCCTGGAACTTTAGCTTGCATAAAAAAGAATTACAGTAGGTGCTAAAGAGATGGCTCAGAAGTTCAGAGCATTTTCTGCTCTTGCAGAGGAACTGGGCTCAGTTCCCAACCCCTACGTGGTGGCTAGAAGTACCTGCAATTCGTTCTAGCATATCTGATGCCTTTTCCTGCAGGTACCAAGCACTTAGATGGTACACATACATGAGTGTATACAAAACATTTATATACATCATACACATAAAAGTATTTTTTTTAAAAAAAGGGATGAACAATTGTCACTGCAGTGGTTGGAAAGGGTGGGTACAGGAGAAGCAATGAGATTGGTCAGTGGTAAGTTGGCACGCCTCAACACAGGATGTAGGGCAGAATGCCCCGTTGAGCATTACTGAACCTACCCCAGGATGGGCTTACGTACTGACACGTGAGTGATGACTCTCCCCGAGTAACTGGATTGCCACTAAGGATGCTCAGTCAGGCTCATGATTGTGAAAGCCCTTTTTCCCCAAGCCTTCCCTAATTGAATTAGACTCTTCCTGGCAGTAAAGGCACCTGGGACGGCCTGACTGGAAGGATAGTTTTGCACATGCTGTGACTTGGCTCTTCAGCTGTTCTGGGATGTTTGTCTGAGCTCAGATGATGGGGTCCCCTTAGATGTGGTCCTTTGACCTTCCTCTATGGTTATGTGATGGGAATGAAAGTCTCTGGAAGGGAGCCACGCTGCTGCAAACCCTGCAAGGCTGGTTGACTGAAAGAATTTCAGTCATTATGGAGAGGTCAAATGTGGCAGGTTCAGGGCCAAACTACAGTTTATCTGGGCTTGTCCGTGTTTAGCCTCCATATTAGACATTCCTTTCCTCTCTGAGCTAACGTTCCTGTGACTATCCGGCAAATTCCTTCTCTCCCTCTCTGTTTCTCTCTCCTCTCGCCCTCTTTTTCTCTTCCCTTCTTTCTTCTCTTCCTCTTCTTTTTTGAGATGGTGTCTCACTTCTTAGCTCTGGCCGCCCTGGAACTCCCTATGTGGACCAAGCTACCCAAGAATTCACAGAGATTCACCTGCCTATGCACCCTAAGTGCTGGGATTAAAGCCATGCACCCCTACACACACAGCCCAGTGAAGCTTTTTGAAGTGTGTTAGCTTAGTAGACCCCTACATTCCACCAGTTCCAAAGCTGAGAGTGTCATCAGACAGTATGTGAGACCAACTTTCCTCTAACCATCTGCCTAATGTTTCCATCTGTGCATATGAAAAGTGTCTTCATTTGTGGCCTTTGTTCTGTTTTTATAAGAACTTCTTGAAATTGCTTGCTCATTGGGATTTGGGACTTGGAGTACTCTAAAAGTGTTTCCGAGCCATGGTCACTCTTATTTGGCTCTCTTACAAACTGTCTCATCCCTTATGAGGTAAAAGCTGGCTTTGGGTTTTTATTTTACCTATTGATTTTTTTTTTTTGCATCGACAGTGAGAGCTTATCCTAGTGCAGGCTGGTGACCTTATGGAATTACTCTGCTGGCTACCACTGCTAACTCACAGGGAAAGCCCTCAGGACTGGGCCGCATCACCTCCATCCTGTTCTCAGAAACTTTGGTTCATTCTTCAAACCCCACAGAATCTAAGGCAAATTCATTAGGAAAGAAAATGCTGTCATGTATGTGCTGGAATGTAGAGAGAATGCTTTCATGTATGTGCTGGAGTGTAGAGAGAATGCTGTCATGTGTGTACTAGAGTGTAAGAAGAATGCTTTCATGTGTGAGCTAGAGTGGAGAGAGAATGCTTTCATGTATGTGTGGAGTGTAGGAGGGAGAATAGGATGAGACTCAAGTCTGAAAGAATGTTAAGAAAACTGTGTAAAATAAGCAAATGAAGAGACAGTTGGCAATGAGAAAGGCTAAAACCCTCTGCTACAGCCAATTAAAGCCAGCCACTAGTGTAGGTACAGGGTCACTCCAGAGTGCCCGAAGGTGACTTCTGGCTGGTTTTATTACTAAAACACACAACCCTGGGTGAAGATTCACAGTGCTAATGAGACATACCCCACATAAAAATTGTATCTAGACCTACACCTGGCAGCTGAGCATATGGGAAAATCGTGTGCTAAGAAAATGCCCCCCAAAGCCCTGTGCCTTTGACAGAAAGGACCCCATTCTCTGTACAACAGTATTGAATGAATTATAGAACTCTGTTGGTTTTGGGCTACTTCTTCTGCCTTGAAAGTGTCCCCACTTACTGCTTCTCCTGAAACCTTGTGTCTCTGTTCCATTCTTTCTTTGGGGACACATGTTCCTGGAACTTTTCAGAGGTGTCCTCCAAACCCTGCTATCAGATGACACAGATACAACGAATAAAAGGAACGTCACAAAGTGAAATCTGTTTTCTGCTGTCTAACCTCTGTCCTTGTGGCCTTTTATTTACTTCAGACCCAGAGCCTGCATGTGGCACCTACCCAGGCTCTGAGACACTCCACCACAGTGGACCCATTTCCTTTTCATTACCGTTATTTCAAAATTGTGCTTTTAGCCAAGGCATAGCTCTTACAATGCCTACAAATTCATTTGGCTAATTGTAATTTAGCTTCAAGGCAGGGCTTCTAGGCTGAGGAGTTTAGTGTCTGGCTGTATCTGCTGCAGTGCAGATGTCGTGGGGCAGGCAGTTATGTAAGGTTTCTTTATATCAGCAGCTGTTAGACGTTTAAGAGGAAGTGCTGCGCCACTGCTTTTTCATAGCTCTGCCCTTTTCCAAGTTGTTCTTTGTTTCAGTTAAAACTGATTTGAACCAGAAACACCCAGTTGCTTTTTAAAAAATTTATTTTCATTTTACGAGCATTGTTTTGCCTGCACTAATGTCTGTGTGAGGGTGTTAGATCTTGGAGTTACAGACAGCTGTTAGCTACAATTTGGGTGCTGGGAATTGAACCCTGGTCCTCTGGAAGTGCAGTCAGTACTCTTAACCGATGAGCCATCTCACTGGGTTGAGCTCCTACTTAGTTGCTTTTTAAAAAATATGTTTTAAAAATAATTTGTTATTTTAAGTATACTGGTTCTCTGTCTATGTTTATGTAAGGGAATCACATGTGTACAGTGCCTGTGGGGGCCAGAAGAGGGCATCAGATTCCCCCTAGAAATGGAGTAACAAATGGTTGTGAGCTGCCATGTGGGTGCTGGGAACAGGACCCAGGAACAGGTCCCTCTTAACCACTGAGTCATCTCCATACCCAAACCAATGGATTTTTTTTAAAGTCCTTCAATTTATGATTTTTTTTGTTCTGTTACCATAAAAACCATGATGAGCCAGTCAGTGGTGATTCACACCTTTAATCCCAGAACTCAGGAGGCAGAGGCAGGTAAATTTCTGAAGTTGAGGCCAGCATGGTCTACAGAACAATTTCCAGAACAGTCAGGGCTACACAGAGAAACCTTGTCTCAAAAAACCAAAACGACAACAACCATCCAACCAACCAACCAACCAAACAAAAAACCAACATGGTATTTGGGATAACATGAGTCTGTTCCTGGGAGGTAAAGGGTACAGGGTGTAGGTGTAGCTGTGTGTGTGTGTGTGTGTGTGTGTGTGTGTGTGTGTGTGTGTGTTTAG